AGAGCTTGGTTTGCATTACTGGCAGAAAATCGGATTCATTCAGGTGGCTGATGATCTCCGCTGGACACAGATTTGTCACAGATTCTGTTCAGTTTTTTGGACACATCATTTGGGCGTAGCCAAGTAGGTCTCAGCATTTCAGGGTAGCATTTTGCGAATGATGTGGTTGCGTTGCCGTCATCAAGTAGTGACCTCCAGCTTGCAGTGCAGCGATTTGTGACCAAGTGTGAAGCGGCAGAAATGAGAATCAACACCTCCAAATCCAAGATCATGGTTCTCAACCAGAAAAGGGTGGAGTCCCCACTCCGAGTCTGGGAGGAACCGCTGCCCCAATTGGAGGAGTATCTCGGGTTTTGTTCACAGCTCAGAGAATACTGGAGACTGAGACTGGGTAACCAGATAGGGGTTCCGTCCACAGTGATGCAGACACTTTACTGATATGTTGTGGTGAAGACAAAGCTGAGCAGAAAACCCAAGCTGTCAATTTACCAGACAAATTACATTCTTACCCTAAACTATGGTTACGAGCTCCGGTTAGTGGCTGAAAGAATGAAGATAATGGATACACTCTGCGAAATTAGTTTTCTTTAAAAGCTGACTGCGCTGTCCCATATAGATAGGATGAGGAGCTTGGATATTAAAGAGTGACTTGTAGAGCTGTTGCTTCTCCACATTGAAAGGAGCAGTTAAGGTGGCACCTGACTAGGATGCCTCCTAGGTGAGGTGATTTGGACATGTGATACCAGGAGGAGGCACCCCCAGTGCCCAATGGGGAGATTATTTCTCTCAGCTGGCCTGGGAACAACTCAGTGTTTCTCTGGACAAGCAGGAAAGCAATGTTAGGGAGAGGGAAGTCTAGGCTGCTCTGCTTAGACTACTGCCCCTGCGACCAGAGTGTGGATAAGGGATAGAAAAAGGTGGTAAGGATGTGCCAGAAAGAAGTGTTATCCACAAAGCTGCAGTTCACAGTGGTCATCACGTCAAAGTTAAAAAAAAATATTACTAGTTTATGAAATTACATTATAGCATGTTTAAGAGTATGTTTGGAAAATCAGGCATGTTAGAGTCAACTTACTAATCCTTTGATTTCACATTCTAGCTGGTATATGCTGTCCAGTTTTCTCTTCCGGCACCGCTGTGCAGCCACACGGTTTTTACTTCGTCTACGGACGTCATGGACGAAGTCCAGCTGCTCCTGGGTCAATGAATGTTTTTTCAGAAGCTGCTGAAATTCACTCCGGCTCAGCACTGAGATTTGCTGCACTGGGAATGGAAGCTGAACCTGAAGATTAGAGTTAAACAATTTAGATTAATTTGATTTTCTATCTTCCATTACCAATAACCAAACATCAGACACATATATATAATAACAACCTCTTCCGCTCTTTTGTTGTTGGCCTCAGTATCGCCATCTGTGTCCAGGTCTGACTCATCAGCAGAGTTTATTGAGGAGGACATACAGGGGCTCTTCTCTGCCTGAGACAAGCTGTCGGTGTGTGTAGCTGCATCATCACCTGTTCCAAGGTCCCTGAGAAAGGGACAGTCTCCTACACTGGCACTCAGGTCCAGCTGCTTAAGCCAGTGAAAATCAGATGCTTTTGCTAGATTATTTTGTTCCACTGGATCCACAGGAAGTGGCTGAGCCTGAGACGGGCAGAGGTCAGACCAGAATCCTTTTGCCAGATGTTCAGCCACCTCCCTCTCCACGCGACTTCTCTCGCCATATCCTTCTTCATGGCTTAGAGTAGTCAGTGCAGAGTTTGAAAGATCACCTGTCATTCCCTGTTCAAAGTGAGCCTCACTCTGTTTTATTAAAGTACTGCAATCTTCTGCCCCTGAAGTCTCGAGTGGACATGAGCTAGGGATGCAATTGGTTTCTGCACCAAGTGTCTCAACAGTTTGTTTAATTTCTCTGCCTGGTGGATCAATGAGTTCTGGTGGATTCACATCCCCTGAGGCTGACAGCTCACAAGATAAGCCGCAGTCTGCCAAACTCATCTCACTTTGACTGCACACGTCTCCCATCTCTAAAATGTCTTTTTCACAAAACTGAGACGGATGATCTGCTTTGTCAGAGTTTGGGCAAGGCAGAGACAACATGGGGCACATTCCATTTCCTCTTAACTCCAGAGATAAGGGGGCCATTTGTGGTCCACAGTTCTCCAAACAGAAGTGTTCCTCCCTGCTGTTTGTCTGACCTTGTGCACTCTGTGGACACTGCGACGGGAAGTCTATTTGTTCATCACCTCCTGAAGGCACTGAGCTGTGTGACTCACATGATTCTGGTTGTCTACTCTCTGCACGAGAGCCAAAACTTGCACTAGGATCCCGGCTCTGGCAACAGACTTTTTGCTTGACCTCCTGTGAGGATTTTTTGCTTTCAGAAAACTTTGGGATGAGAAAATCAAAGCATGTCGACTCCAAGTTGTGAAATCCTAAAACCTCAGCACTGCTGTGAATAGCATCAATGTTTTCTTTGGTAAAAAGGAGCTTTGATGTGTAGGCAAATTGAAGCAAAGGTTCAAACCCCTCTACGGTCACCTGCAGGGAAAAGACATAAATTGTTGAAACATAATAAAACTCAGGCAGCTCAAAAATTCAGTTTCAACAGGTCTCTTATGTACCTGTATTGACCTTTTCAAGTTGAATTTTCCAAACACTGCATATAAATTGTTTTTCACTCACATTATGACACAAAATGGACCAAGTAATAGAAGCTAGTGGACAGACAACCATGCATAACTATGCATACACTTTTCATGGATAATAGGGATAAAATAATGGTGCCTGTATAACATTATCACCATTTACTTTCAACAGTATCATCCATATTAGTTTTTTCCCTATATAAATTGGCTGAACCCCAAGGCACCAACCTCATGTGGCAAGGTGATGATGGGATTCTGGCTGGTGACACTGGTGACCCTGCTGTGAAAGTATTCACTGCAAGAAGCCAAGACAGAGCAATGAGCACGGAAACTCCTGTCTTCCACCACCACCGTCACATCACACAGGACGTCCTGCTGTCTCTGCTCATTCAGACACTGCAGAACGTGGGCGCTGTGCACTGCAGACTGGAAGGTGAACACCGATGTGCGAGGAGCTTGGAGCGCCATAGTTCTTACAAGCTCAGCCTGTGCAAAAAAGAGAGCCATATGGAGTCAACAAAATGTCATGATTACACAAGAAACATTTCTCTAGGTTTATCAATATGTATTATATTATAGTGGCTACAGAGTGGAGCCGTTTACATATTTGCCCAACAAGTGAAAGATTCCCAGCTCAAGACACAAATCTCCTTGAGTTGGAAAAAAAAATCTGCCAAATCATGCAGAAGTAACTATAATTATTTTCTTCTTTTGTCTAGATTTTGCATCCATTTTAATTAATTTGTAAAAAATAAATAAATAAAAGATACTAAGTTGAAATAACAGAAATTAATGGGTTTCTGGTTCTCCGATGTTGGTACTGTAACTCATCTATGACAACATAAGCCGTTCCAGATTTTAGACCATTTGTAAGTTGTCGACATGACTTTGAATGTATGTTTTCTTAAGAGTTTGCAGACATTCTATGGAAAAAAAAAAATGAGCAGAATACAATACAACTAATCATTGCTTGTACTAGAGGTGTCTTTAGCAAAGCCTTCAGTGTATCATTAGGCAACCACAGACAGCTGCAAGGCACATTTTTTTGGTGAAAAAAAGAAAAAGAAAAAGAATAATGCATAGTATCACAATATTTTGTGTGGCAATAGCATATCAATACAGGGACACCTAATATTTATATTTTATTTAATGAATTAAAATACTGGGAATATTACGAACAAGAGGGTTCATCTCATGTATGACCATGACCGAGATAATGTTAGCCGAGCAAATTTATAAATCATAAATTTATAAATCATCAAGACTGAAAAAACAATGGACACACTTTTAGTGGGAGAAAAAATAAGCGAAATAACTTTATTTTACTGGATAAATGGTAAATGGCCTGTATTTGTATAGCGCTTTTACTAAAACAGACTGACAATGTTAAACGTAATATGCAGTTGGAAAAAAGTGAGAAATCCCAATGTTGAGTATTGCAAGGGGAGTTTTAGTATTATGTAAAGTTATGTAAAGGTTCAGGAACTTAAACTGCTGTTATGGGCAGCAGAAGTGGTACAAGACATCCAACCAGCTACTTGGCGAAACACTTGATTGTGAATAAAATTCTCCCTCAAGGAAATTACTGATGAATAGTTAGTCAAATAGAATTTAATACCTATATAAGTATAACGACATGTAAAAACATGCTCCATTGCGTTTTCTTTTAATCTGACTAAAGTAACGAAGACAAAAATAACTATAACGTTCGCTAAAATTACTTCTAACATAGTCCTTAAGTTAGGCGACTGCCTCTCAATATTTAACTATCTAACTTCGCAAATATTTAATCTTGCCGATAATTAATAGTCCCCCACAGCAAGGAAATGTGGGTTAAACCGTGACTCTTTAACTTGTACGCCAAGTTCAACGCTAAAATGCTGACTCACGTTTAGCCAAGTTAATCAACTGGGCCTGGTAGATAAAGGCAATAAAAGCATGTCCAAAATTATGATCAGTTCGTTATGTTACTGACGACTTATAATAGATTCGTTTAGCTAAACAAATAACAGTGGTAATTGTCCGCAAACGGAAAAGCTTGAGGCTAGGCCAGACCGTTAGCTTTAACTGCGCTCAGTTCGTGTTTATCCGTTGCTAGCAAAAAACAGAAACTGAAACATTCCGCTATTGTGACTTTACTCGATGCTCTTTAAAAAGCCAAACGTTTACTGACCTGCCATGCTACCTGGATAACACTGCCATTAGTAAATTTAGGGATAGGGTACAGATGCTTCTGGCCATTCCGAGCCTGACTTCACTGTAGTCATGTGACAGCTTGGACAAGGAAGCGCTAGCAGCACTTACTGCGCAGACTCATAGCAAGTATCGACAAACCAGCACACAGGAGAGGAGTTTCTGTTTTTGCAACATTTAATTACATGACATTGATTTAAAAAAGAAAAAATATATATCTACATATCATCTAACCCAAGCTTTCATTAATATACTGAAACTGTGACTTCCAGTTCCATATTGTCAATTCATTGTCCAACTAGGTTTTCTGTACTGGTATGAGACTGATAAAAATGACCTGTTTAATATTTCAGACACTGTCATACAATTTCAGACACTGACAGAACAGGTACAGGCGGAAATATTCTTTGAGATCCCTTAGAAGGTGAAACTGAAGCAGCATTGGTTTATTTGGATTTCCTGAGTGGTGATGCACAATTAGAGGAGCCTTTCATAGAAGAGGAGGTAGGCTTGGCAGCTCTGGACTTTACTCTCACTCACAGGTTGAACGCTTGTGTCGCTGATGTGGAACCAGGATCCTCTGGATGGCTCTGCATCTCCTGAAGGGAAACGAGGAGTTTATACATTTCATATTTAGAAGTGTTTATCCTATTAACGGTCAAGCCAGAGTACACCCACCGTCTGTAAGTCCATTGGATGAGGGCTGAGGGCACTCGGGCCGCACTTTCACATAGGCCGTGTAATGACCTGACCTCATTGTTCCACTGTGCTCTACGATGCCATACAAACCGTATAAGATCTGACTATGTCCCTCTGGGATATTCTGTTTCAAAACAACTAGTGGTTAGTGCTTCTACATTTAATTCACTTATAGCCGTCTTTGTACAGTATAATAAAACATGTTACTTCCCATACTTACCTTGCATTTGACTGCACAGAAGGGAGCTAGATCCAGTATCATAGGAAAGGTGACATGTCTGTTCACCTTACAAATACTGTAGCCATTCTACAGGTAAAAAACATCATTAAAATCCAAATAGTGATTTCTTGATTGCCTTACCATAAAGGGTTCAATGTTCTTTAAAGCTTGGCTCATAACTCTGTGATAAAAACCTTAGCTGACAGCGAACTGGATCAGTGCAGAGCATACCTGTTGAAATCTCTTTAAATGAAGAGTAAGGACTGAAGGTGGAGAGGAGATAAGGATTTGCTTCAAGGCATCAGTGTAGATATTCTTCTTGGATCCTAAACACAGCACAAAAAAGACAGTGGGTTTTAGTCGATCCCTAAACTATGTATGAAGAAAGTTTAATAATGGTATTAGAAAAGAAAATTACACATTTGTGATACTTCACTATGTAAAATTGCATGTGCATAGACTACAGCAAAGGACATTAAATAGCAGACTAAGTACTGATGTGGGAGCATTTTAAATACCTCCAGACTTGTTGTTCCCCAGCTGCCGTTTGGTGCAGGTGACACAAAGTAAACTGTTGTTTTGTGTGAGGGTTTCTACTTCTGTGAATTGAAAAAGGCACGACTGCACTGAACACTCCTGTTTCTCTGGGATTGTCCTGGCAGCCATCGTGTGGAAGGCCAGCTCTGGATCTTGGTTGATTACTGTATATTCCTTAGTCTCCATCACTCCATCTTCACTCTCCATGCTTTGTTCCATTGTGTCAGTGTCTTCTATAAAGGCATCATCCAAGGTTACTTTACTCATTTTCCTCACCAGCTGTGTGTCTTCCTCTTCTGTCTTGTCTTCTTCATGACCCATGTTAGACATTTCATTGCATACGGTGCTGTCCTTTGAGTCCTGCTCCACTGATAAGGCAGTAAACCGGTTGCTGACTGATGAGTCAGGGTCACTCGCTGAATCCTCATCCTCTTCTTTTTCCTGCTCCACCTGCACTGCGTTACAGGGCTTTTGGTCCTCTTCAGACACACTGACTGGAGCAGGATGTTGTGAATCTTCTTCAAGTGTTTCATTATCAGTGTTTTCCCTGTCCTTTGAATCTGCTGTAGCATCTGTGTGTTCGCTCTCAGCCTGGCTGGGAGAGGTGAGACTGTCCAAAGTGGCTCTACCCTCAAGCTTCTGCTGTCTTTTTTGATGCTGAAAGTCAAGATGGATTAATTTGGATTAATGAATGAATTAAGTTTAAGAAAAAAGAAACTTCCTTCAGTATGCATTCACTGACACACCTTTGCCTGCTTCTTTGCTTGCTTCTTGGCTTTCTTCTGCTGGTACTTGCTGCCAGCCCCAGTGGGAATGTCATCATTCCCACTAGTCCGAACAGGGCTGCTGCTGTCATCCTGGCTTGAAGCACTGGTCTTCTTTTTTTGGTTCTTCTTTCTATATGCCTATAGGATGCCACAATAGGGAACAATAACTGATACAGACATTAACAAATAACTACTCAAGTAACTATCCAAAAAAAAAACCAAATGCCTGCTTTACCTCATCAGAAACAGGAAGGGAAAGATCTAAAAACATCTCTGTGACCACAGAAACCTGTAAGGATGAACAAGTGGATATTTTTAGAGTGACATCATCAGGATATATTCTCTTCTTACTTTCTGGTCTTCATACATACCGTTCTACACTGCTGACACATTATAGTGCTGGTAATTTCACCACCAAAAACTTGGTCAACAAAGTTTTTTAGAAATCCATTTTTCTCATACTCTGAAAGAAGAAATTAAACGTCAGAGCCACATTTCTCAAAGAAAAGCTACTGTGCAAAAACTTTAGCAACATACTTTTGTTTATATAACACTGATTAATAATCCACAGCAGCATTACTTGCCTTTTAGTAGCGTTTTCAGCTCTCCATCTGTGCCTTCTCTAGATTGTTTCAATGTGTCCATTATTCCCGAGCTTATTCTCTGTTGACACAGATACAACCGTAATATTCAAAAGATGAAAGATACCTTTGATTAACCACAAGATGGAGACATCCATTCTTCACAGAATCTTAATTTTAGGGCCTTTACCCTTAAAATTTGCTCCTGTTAAAACCTCTGCACACAGAAAATTAACCAACCGTCTGAGAAGAAGAATTATAAGGTCATTAAATAGGACACAGAAAATGTTTTTAAAACACAATTTCTTACATTTAACGCCGCCACATAAAACAACTCACTATAGCAGTGTTCTGCTGTCAAACCAATCTATTGCAATGTAACATATAGCCCTCTGGAGAGCCACAGTTCACATTTTAGTAGAAATCTATCAGACTTAAATATGGGGAGATCGGTTTCAAACTCAGTACACACATTGTGCTCCTCAGCTCTCATGCCATCCAACAGGTAGCGCAGCAACTCCTGGCTATCTTGCTGCTGAAATCCTTTGAACCTGGCAGCCCTGCACAGATAAGATGAATGATGAGCCCCACTTGCACTAATGCTGGGAGCTATACTTTTAAGCACATCTTAAAGTTGACTTTTAACATAAAACTATAGTCATTCTCACTTTCTACAAACTTGTGTGAACAGCTCCCGTGGTGTTACTACACTCTTCTTCGATTCCTGAATCTCACAGAGTAGGTGATACATAGCCAAAGTTAGAGATCCGGGACCGTCTAACTGCACTTCTATAGGCTCCTGTAATCATAATAAAGAAAGTTAGTTATCAATAGTAATGAGTAGAGGAACATAACTACTCTATCAAATGGGGAAAACACACCAGATCTAAGGAAGCACCAGGTTTAATGTTGAGACTTTTCTCTTCTGTCACTTTGTTGAGAGTCTGTCTTAAGAGTTGTGTTTGAGACAGATTCTGGAAAAGAAAACAATAGCAATCAGTAATAACTCTCACTGAACTCAAGACCGGCATCCTGTAAGGATCAGTCTTACCTGGATGACTGCATTGAAAAAGCACGTGTTTCCCAGATTGCTCAGACCCTTTACTGAAACACCACAATGCTCTTCAGTTGTGCTCTTCTTCTGAGATTTCCCAACAGTCTCTTTCTTTGTGTTTTTCTTTTGGTGATCCCCGTTTTCTTTGTTTTCCTTGTCCTCATTTTCATCTTCTTTTACAGTCTCCGCCTTCTGTTTAGCTTCCATCAAGGCATCTTCCTCCTTGACCCCTAAAGAAAGCAAACAGGGTTGACGTGGTTATGAAGCAGTCTAATGTATGTACGTGTTAGACTTCCCCAGTGGTACCTACTTTTCTGTGGTCGTTTTATAGAATCTGAAGATGTTTGCTTTTTCAGGTTGGTTACTAGCTGAGCCAAATGCCCTGTTCTGGAGTAATGGACTTCATCATCACATATATAACACCTGCAAAAAACCAAAAACATATTATTCTCATTTCAAACTTGATGTAGAGGCCTATGATTAGCAAAACAACATAAAATGCTCACCACACACTAAAGTTATCCAAGCTGACCACCAAGCAGTGTGGATCAGACCGGGGAGTTTCATAATGTTTGATGGCATGCTGATTCTCAGAATTCCGTCCACATCCCTAGTGGAAAAGATGCATTTAGAAAAAATGCACACCATTTTAAACCCAATGACAAATAGGTACAAAAAGAAAAAATCTCACTCTATGGCCGCATTTCAAGCACATCCACAATCCTGTTTCTTGTTCTTCCTCAGCCTCCTGTGGCAGATGGTTGTTGATATTTTCTTTATTTTCTTCCTGCTTACAATCCTGACAACTCGTCCAATCTGAGGTACCAGAAAGTTTCTTGAGGAGAGTTTGGTCTGTTCCCTTCTTAATATGCCTGCAGGATGGAACTGTGACAATAAAGATTTAAATGAAATGGAAGTCTCACACTAGGCTTTCCACAGGTTGTTGCATGACATGAAAGATGATGAAATATTCTTTACCTGTCAGGTCAAGCTCATCATCCTCCTTGGAGGTCTTGTCCTTTCCCCTCTTCTTTCCCATTTTCACCTGTAGAGATGGAAATCGAACACAGCACTCAAGTGAAACAGAAGGCTAGCTTTGGCTAATACCTACATGAGATTATAATGCTGCTAATAGAGTTCAGTGACGGCAAATTCTGTTTTAAAAAAAAAACACAATAAGAAATATATCGTTAAATTTAATCATCACCCTCATGGGCCATTCAACTTACTGTGACAAACCGAGCCTAAAACCCTAATCGTCTTCAGTTTCGTTTACTTTCCATTCCTGACTTCTCTAATTCGGACATAATTACGTTAGACTGTTGACTGGAGAAATAAATCACGAGCTTTAGTGTAAATACGTTGATTCGCAAAGTTTAGAACACGCAAAAATAACTCCAGTGATTTGGCAGGGAAAAAAATCCCAGCTGACACATGCAAAGGAACAAAATGTGATGGGGCCGCTGTTTCTGCTGCCGTGTGTTTCCTGCGTGCGTCGGCCAAAAGAGTCCGAGTTCAAACAAAACTTCATTATTAGTCGTTGCGGGACACTAGACAGTGTCTCTGTATGGCTATACTGTATACATAAAAATATTATTTTGTTTTCAGATTTCATACTGTTCTGTAACGAAATCAATTTTAGAGGCTGGTTTACGCCCGGAAAACATGGTATGGTATATGGTATGTGTTAGCATAAGTGAGTCATATTTTTGGACGTACCAGAAAACTGTGTAACTGGTAACTTTTTAAATGAACATTAGAAAAGATTGACTATTTTAGTTCTCGACTAAAGCAGCATGTCTTACTTGGAGTGGGCTGAGTCTCAGCTTGCAGAGATAGAGCTGCTAACCAGCATGTTCCCCACCGTGGAGGAGCTGGAGTTCACTGACCAGCTGGCACTAGCCGAGCTCAGGGACTACGTGGAGGGCTCAGCTTCAACAGGCGGCCCTCCACCGTCCAGACCCCAGTTTCTCATCAAACAAAAGCTGGACTCTGCGAACACAGAGGGGGTAACTAATCTGTCATTATATATAATTTTGTTTTAATCATTATTTAGTTTAATTTCTCATGTTTTTCCCCACACAGACGGTGTTCATTCTGTCCTGTGCTTACCCATCTGAATATCCTAGTGTGTTACCAGAAATAACAGTCCGGTAAGCGATTATCCTCATTTGAACTCCTAACATACAGGAAAATAGTTAGGGAGCTCACTCAGGAGAGTCTCATCTGATTGTGTACAGACTTGTTGAAGAAAAAGAGAGAGCGCGAAAACAATAGTATAGTGAATAGAATACTAGTGGCCCAGGTTTTTCTACCATATAGGAAGCGCAGCCTGGATGAGCACAGATAGCATTCACAGTGTTGCCTTTAAATATAGTTTTGAATGAAAGCAAATTTAATTTGTGTAACAATAACACAGCCACAGCAGTAAGTGGAAGAAACAGTGCCTCTAATTTGTTTTAAGTGTATCATTAGTCACTTTAATTAATAGCGCTGAACCTCCTGAAGCTGTGCTGTCATTGCTTTGAACTGAAATTCCCAGTGCCAAGTGACCTTAAATGTTCTTCGAAACCTTCTTAGAACATGTGTTATTCTTGCTTCAGGTGTTCTGGTCTCAGTAGGGCCCAGCAGACACAGCTCCAGGCACTTCTTAACGCATACCTCATGGAAAACTGCCAGGGGGAAATATGTGTGCTCTCTGCTGTTGAATGGGTGAAAGACAACCTCCAGCTTTTTATTGATAAGAGCTTATTAGAAGCCCCAGCTCCTAAGAAGGAGTCTGCCTCTCCTCGGATGCCCGAAGTGTTCAGCCGGCTGTGGATCTACAGTCACCACATTTACAACAAGTCGAAGAGGAAGAACATCTTGGATTGGTCAAAGGAGCTGGGCCTGTCAGGGTTTAGCATGCCTGGGAAACCTGGTATCGTGTGTGTGGAAGGTCCTCAATCTGCCTGTGAGGATTTCTGGTCCAGGTACCTTGCCTGTTGATTTGGGTTTTTTGGGGATGACTTAATATCACAGCCAGAAGCCTGCTGAGGTGCCAGGTTTAATATTTTTCCAATCTTATTCCCCTATTTCACAGAGTGAAGGTTTTGACATGGAAGAAGATCATGATTCGACACAGAGAGGATATTTCCCTTGATTGTCAGAGTGAGGACAGCAGGCTTGTTGAACATATAGACTCCCTGCGCAAATTTACAGGCTTTGAAGAAGCAATGTTTGACCCCCATGGAAACAGAGGCAATCACATGGACCTTGGGCAGCTCTACCAGTTCTTGAATGAGAAAGGCTGTTGTGAAGTCTTTCAGATGTATTTTGGCATTGAAGGGAGGTAGTAGTCAGACCGAGATAATGGATGTACATAGTTTTTGTACCGGTGCCTTGTCACTGAAATTACTTATTCTGAAAATAACTTTTAAATGAAATGGGAATGGAATAAGCTGATAAAATGAAATAAATGAACTAACTAACTTTTTGGGTTTCAAAGTTGTCATACCTGCAAAATTCACTGGAATAAAAAGCAGAAAGAACATTTCTGCAATTTTGAGGAACAGTTTTCATTTCTTTCTTCTTCTTTTTTCTAATAGGCATATTTTATCAAAAGAAGGAAGAAAAAAGATGTTTATCTGAGAGTTTTCTCAAGGACTTTAGTTATATTTGCAATTTTAATACTCCTGCATATCACGAATTGCCCCAGGTGTTTCTTTTCTCAAATGGCACCAGTGTGTTATTACTACTGGGCTATTATAGGATTTTCAGGTTTGATAACATTTTAATAATTGAACAACATTGTCAACAAAATGTGGGATATCTGTTTTTTTAAATCTGTTGATTTTCTTTTTATGAATTATAGATATCATAAGCATGGAAATTCCTTCTCCAATTTTCTTTGAATGATTAGTTGTTAGATTAATTATGCGTTGCTGTGGATTATACACTGGCAATTAAACCGTGTGGTTATTTATCATTAATCTTAATTTCTCCCCCACCAAGCCTTGGATGAAAAAACAAACAAGTTCTCTTTGTTGATTCCCCTCACCCCTCTGGAGTTGTGTCTAACGTATTATGATACTAATGGTTATTCTTGATTTTCTTTTTCTTTTCTTTTTTTGATGCAAAGTGCACTCCTTAGATACAGCCTTTAAAAGGTTGTATCAATTTACCATTTTTATCACATAATAATAAAGAAATACAGAAGAATGTAAAGTCTTCAAACGAGTCTGAACACAGAGTAATTTAATTTAGGAAGTTAGATTGCCAAAGTTATATTACAAGTGAGACATGTACTTTTAGTAATTCCTGTGATTAATTTACTATTAAAACTAACAATAAAAGGTATGATTAAGTCTGGTTCAGTGCACAGTTCTATGCTGAAATAACACAAATTGAAGACAAAGTTGATGTTTAGATACATGCAGATTGTACTTGCAGACTCTGTTGGTCTACACTGTCCAGCAGATGGCAGCATAACATAATTAAATTGGGGAAACATGGAAACAGTAATATCTTAACTTCCTAAACATGTTTAAAATCCTAACTTCTGTCTAAAAGCATGAGAAAAAAAAGCTGGAATAGTAAAGCAATAATTTGGATTAATTGGTGTTCACTTGTTACTTATGTGAAAACTGACTACTGTGATTTACAAGCTCAGACAGTGTGGAGTGCTGTAAAAACGGAGGGGTTGTATCTGTGCATTTGAACACAAATTAAAGCAGCCAAAACATCACAAAGTCCTTTACAATCTCCATTTGTGATTTTTTTCCAAATAACATTTGAAATACTATGTGTTGAACAGATACTAAATCTAGAGGCAGCCACGAGCAAGAGTTCCTCACCTTGATTTTAGTCCCAAGCCTCCATTGTCCTGTGAGATGCTGGTTCATTTTACAGTCTGTGTGCTGCTTCTTTTGACAGTCCCTTTTCTGCCCTTGCTGATTTTATGGGTTCTTTTGTTCTTACAGTGTATATTCACTCTTGTCAGAGGTCTATTGGAACAAGGACTTCTGACTTTTATCTTCAAAGTCTCATCAGAAAGCCCTTCTGTGTCTTTGTTGAAGAGAGTTTGACTTTCAGGTGCATTCACATCATCTGATTCCTCAGGATCCTCAGTAGAATACTGTAAATCAGAAGAAGTGATCCACATTATACATCTCTGGGTCTAATAATCCTTCATTAGTTAGCGCTTCTATATGAAGGTCTCTGCGCTGAATCATTCAGCGGGGATATGCATCATTACTATACACTGTAAAGTTATGACTAATGATGTAAATCACATCACAGCAGCTTTGATAAAGGACTGAATAATGGAGTATGGACCGCAAATTACTGTAAGAAGCAGTCATGTTTCAATAAAGTAATTTGGTTTTCATGTTAAAAGAAAGTGTATATTGTAGACTCACAGAACAGCAGATGACATATCCTAAAAACTGACCTGAAAATGTGCTAATTCTAAGGAAATTAGTCAATAAATGCTTGATTTATGGCTAAATAGAAAGCTTTGTATGGTTAATGTTAGACACTAAGTGTCCTTTCCCACTTATTCCTTGAATAGGTGAGCTGGCAAATGGTGCTTGTGATATTCCAGCACGTGATCGCGACATGTGACAATGACTGCTGTTCTAAAGTCATGATAAATTTATGCCTTGAAATATGAATGCCAAAGTGTGAAATGGCTCCATAGCGTAGTCATGCCTGCTCCATCAGAGGTTAATTGGTTTCTACCTGCAAGCTGAACCTTAGTAAATGTGTTTGTAATAGTTCATTGTTACAATTAAGATCTTAGGGAGTGGAAAACTGTTATTGACCTGTACTGCAGCTCTAGTGCAAATCATTAATACATGTTCACAGAGTCAATACTAACTTTCTTCTTGCTGTAAGTAACCTGTAGAGTCCTTACCTTTTTACCTACTGGTAGATAGAGAGAGCAGTCCAGTGATTACTAAAGAATAAGAAAGCATAAAGTCTTTGGTTATAGTATCTGGTGGGACCCCCTTTGCAACTGAATGTAACTGTGGATCAGCACGAGATTAAAGGAATTTTAGCCTGTCTCTTGTACAGAGCAGCTTCATCTTATATGTTAGTAGGTTTCCTCACATGAACTGCTTGCTTCATGTCCTTCCATAACACGTCTGTTTGGTTAAGGTCAGGACTTTGAGTTGGCTGCTCCAGAACATTAACTTTACTCCTCTTTAAGCATTCCTTGGGAGACTGAATTGCATGGGTCGGTGTCTTGCTGCGTGACCCACTTTCTCTTGAGATTTGATTCACAGTGGTGCAATCCAGATCTTACTGTTTCGTCAATGATGTCCAGTTATCCTAGCCCAGACTGTGATTCTACAACACTGGATTTTCCTGTCTTCAGACACTTCTCGAAGTTCAAATTTGGTCATATTCATCAGCAAACTATTGTTCCAACAGTCCTCTGGTTGTCCCATGTGATCCTTAATAAAGTAGAGAATGGCATCAAT